GCTAGAGGGCGGCGACGGGGCCGCGGTAGAGCGGCGACGGGGCCGATGAAGGGCGGCGGCGGGGCCGCTAGAGGGCGGCGACGGGGCCGTGGTAGGGCGGCGACAGGGCCGCTGAAGGGCGGCAGTGGGGCCGCTAGAGGGCGACGACGGGGCCGCTTGAGGGCACCGACGGGGCTGCTGAAGGGCGGCGGCGGGGCCGCTAGAGGGCGGCGACGGGGCCGCTAGGAGGGCGGCGACGGGGCCGCTGAAGGGCGGCGGCGGGGCCGCGGTAGGGCGGCAACGGGGCCGCGGTAGAGCGGCGACGGGGCCGCTGAAGGGCGGCTGCGGGGCTGCTAGAGGACGGCGACGGGGCCGCTGAAGAACGACGCCAGGGCCGCTAGGAGGGCGGCGACGGGGCCGCGAAAGGGCGACGCCGCTGCCGCGAAGGGCGGCGGGTGGGCCGCGAAGGCGGCGACGGGGCCACGAGAGGGTGGCCGGGCCGCAAGGGTGGCGACGGGGCCGTGACTGGGGCCGCTAAGGGCGGCGCGACGGGCCTCTAAGGGGAGGGTGGCCCACAGGGCGCGCCTCGGTCTCAGGGCAGAAAAAAAAAATTAGTGGTGGGCCCAAGGAAAAGTTCCCACTAGGGAACCTGCTCTATACCATGTGAAGAAATGAGGAATGAGTGAAGTAGGAAATGAGTTGGGTACAAATATGAAACCCTAGAAAGTTGTACCCCATACAGTTTACCCCACTACAGCCTAGAAAGACTATAGCATGTAAGTTCGACAGTTAAAGCATCTCGGGCAGTTTTTATCGGAGGTGATAAAGCGAAAGTGAGCCCCACAGAAGAGCGAAAGCATGTAAATCCGTAACAATACACCTCGTTGGCGACTGGGCTGCTCCTCAAGGAAAGGTTGTTTCAGAGTCAGAAGGGCTGGTAAGGGTGTCGGTAAGATTGCATTCCAACGGTCCAGGTGGTTGAGTGGTCGAGCTGAGTAGCTAAGCCGCCTGATGGCTGAAAGCGACGAGGTGTGTTGAAGCAGCTCCATCATGCTTCCGAGGCCAGCTCCTGAACAGTAGGTGCCCGCGTACCACCCGTGTGTGACGTATACTGGGATAACCGCACTGATGGGAAGGAGGCAGTTGCTGGAGGAGGATGCAACCACGTGCCAGCAAGCGTCCACCCCGAAACTATTGAGCCGTGCCGTACCGTCGAAGAGAAGCGCCCGCACCTGGAGAGCTTGCGAGACGAAACACTCCCTTTGCTGCGTCGTGATTACCCATTCGCCAAATGACACGTATGAGGCTGGTGGCGTAAAGGTGTGTAGTACCAACGACCATTCATCCGGGATTGCTATGTAGACTGCCTGAGCAGACTGCGGCCCCCCCGATATTCAGAGGTGGGGTATTTCGTCATAAATTTCTGATTTCGTAAGTTGTCGAGCACCGTCCTTGGTCTGTTGTATTATATTGACCAGTTGGACTTCCTCCGTGAGTAGGAAACGATCACCTTTGGTGCGGCCGAAGGAGAGTCCGTCACTCATGCTGATATGCCTATTAAAAGCAATGGGTCCGTCACCTTGGTGAGGATGTTCTCCCAGGTAACGGATCTTGGAGCGTCGTTTTGAATATATATGCCGAGTATCCTCTCTTCCTCGTTGGGTTGCCGGATGGGAATGAGACATGTGTTCGGGACGACTTCAGCCGGAATATGCAGAAGGTGAATGGAGCAATTGGTCCAATTGGCATGTTGACCTGATATGGCAGCAAAAGTTTGCAGGTGTGTCATGGTTGTCTGGAGTTCCTCACCATTGTTAAGAAAGAGGGTCATATCATCCGCATAACAAGCTGCATGACGTCTCTGAGCGGGGGCAAAATGAAATCCTGGTAAAGCAACAAAGAGGTGACAATGCAGTGCTTTGATGACACATATGAAAAGGAGGGGAGCCAGGGGACACCCTTGACACATGCTAGTGAGAACTGGAATGGGGCACCAGAATTTGAGTGCGAGCACCAGTGCGGAGAAGTCTAACCCTGGTAATGAAGCTTCTAGGTATGCCAAGGTGGGCCAAACACCTATACATGAACTCTCGGTCTACCAAATCATATGCTTTTTTTATGTCCACGGTAAGCATCACTAGAGGTATATTCTTTGCCTGGGCCCATTCCATTAGATCCAAGGAGTCATTTATTGCGTCGCCAATGCGTCTTCCATGGATGAAGGTGGACTGCAAGGGGTGAATGATATGTCTGAGTGTGATTTGCGTTCACCAAACAGATCGCTAGGACTTGATATTCAGAAGTCATGAGCGTTATTGGTCGAAGGTTCTCGATGAGTGATGCATATGCAAGTTTGGGAATGAGCACCGTGCATCTACGGAGCATGGAATCTGGCATGGTGTGTGAGGCATAAATGGCCGTGATCAAGCTGTGCAGCGCTCATGTGAAACTAGTGAGGTGTGCTCTGTAGAAATCTCCTACCAGCCCGTCGTGTCCGGGGGTCTTTCCTAGGGACAGAGCAGAGATTACCCCCTTGACCTAAGATAGAGTTAATCGGGCAGCTATGCGGGTGGTTGTGGTTGGTGGGAGATGTGACGGGAAAATGTGGTCCCATAAATCATCCGTTGGAGGCACGGAGTTACCGTCACGATACAAGTTGGCGTAGAAGTGAGTGCAGTGCGCAGATATCGCACGTAAATGAGATGTTTGCTCAACCGACGGGAGGACCAGGTGAGGAACCAGGGCTGCTTTGTCCTTTGTGTTGAGACGTACCAGAAGCGAAGAGAGGCCCATTTCTTTGGCTCCCTCCACCTTAAGTTTGGCCTTCATGGCAATTTCAGCCGCTTTGGTGGCGACATATTGCTCGAACTGCTTTGACGCCTTTGTTAACGCGCCTCTTGCCTCTGAGTCCTACGAATTTTGCATCAGCACCAGTTGGAGGTGGCATATTTTGCAGATGATTTGTTGTTTTGGTAATACGAATGCGCTCCTCGTGATCGTATTGTCGGAGGAGAGCGCATAATCGTCGCTTCCATGTATCCCATTGTATTGGGGAGAGAGGGGATGGGAGTTGACTGCATGCTTCAGGGACAAGCTAGTGCATGAAATGCTTGTTTATGAGTGTATGAGGGAAACGCCAGGCCCGAGGGGCACACTTAGGATTGTCAAAGCCCAACCGGAGCTCCGGGTATCGAGAGCGATCTGACACTGAATGGGGAAGGGTTTGATATGAGAGAGTGAGTACCCGCTGTTCCCAGGGCTTACTGAGATAAATCCTATCAAGGCTTGACTTGGAGGATTGTCATGGGGAACCATCCATGAAGGGAGACTCAAATGTGAAAACCGGATCATGTTGTTGTTGTTCTTGATACTTCAAATGTTTACAGAGGTTGATTGCGGTCATGAGGGGTGAAGACGGTGTTAAAGTCACCCATCACTAGTATGGTGTCACTGGGAGAAGGAGATTCGAGGATGGGTGTGAGAGTGTTAACCCACCAGCTGCGTTGTTCAGGGTGGTAAGAAGGGCCATATATGCAGATACAGCAGACCTGCTCCTGGAGAAAGCTAAGTTGCATCACCAATAGACGCCCATCATCTGAAGAGGATCTACTCAAAATGGTGACCTTTGGGTTAGAAATTAGCAAGGCAATCCCCCCAGGCGACGCTTTCCCGTTAGCCATAGTGGGCGGGGTTTGAGCATATGCGGAGGGGCGAAGCTTGAAACGGAATTTGGTGAAATTTTTGGTTAATATAGTGTCTATGAGTACCAAAATAATAGGCAGTTGAGTAAATTTTCCTTTGAGATTATCCATCTTTTCCAAAGAGTTCAGGCCGTCAACATTCATGCAAGCTATGTGTAGAGGTGTTAACATTGGCGACAGTTACTAACCCCAGTGCATAAAAGTGCACTCATCCACGGGGAAGCAAATGACTCGGGCACCGTATTGCACTCTGTTTGCCATAGCATTCGCATCTGCCATGTATTGAAAATTCCTAATGCCCAGTGATAAGCAGGAGGTATGTTGTGGTAGTGGTTCGTTTCAAGCTTTAGAGGTTGAGAAGAGCCTTGTACACTGTGGGCAAGAGTCATATTATTGTCTCAGAACATGGTATACCAACTGAAGAGTAAAAATTCCAAAAGTAGGGTCAGCGTCGAACCCCATCGGCTTACCCGGCTCAATGGCAAACTCATGCCCTCAATGAGAAACACATCCCCATCTACATCTCGGAGGCCAAGAAGGTGGCGATTTCTGCCCTTTCCAACAAGATATGCACTTTCTGATCTGCCGGGATCTCCATTGGCAGCTGTTATGTATCTGACTGCATGAGGCACAGACCATGTCCTGGTGAACGGATATGGTTGAACAAGTCGAGTGCAGAGCCGCACTCGAAGTCATACAAGGCACACATCCATGTTTCAACGTCGTCGCCCAATCAAATGTAAATGATGCCAGGATCGGCCTTGATGGCCATGGGCATGGGAGTCTGTCCCAATAGCTTGCTTGTTTCCGCATATGGGAAGGGACTCAGACTCAGAGCATACGAGAAAAAATAGAGGCGACTATGCCCGTGGCAGGCTAGAGGCCGTGCACATAGAAACATGGCAACTGAAAATAAGTGAAAGCAGTCAGCATACTCGCATGTGTCGAAATCAAGCAACCAATGTGAAGCACAAGCATCATATGGTGTGTTAGGCAAGAGACAAGGATAACAGACATGGTATCGAGAAGGGAAAACGAGCTGGTACCGTTAATATTTTGGAATAGTCCAATAGAGATCTGAGAAGGGAAAACGAGCGGGTACTCGTGCAGATTTTGCACGTATGACAGGACAAGTTGATGATGACCGGCGCAATAACATACGGCAGCCAGAGAATAGCCGGGATGCGGTCGAAGAGCTGGTCGTCCACCTCGGGAAGAAGAATTCCCATCACCTGGGGGTGGGACACTTCCTCATACGGATCGTGCGTACGGTAAAAAGAGCGGATTCCACACAACCACCTCCGTTCTCCTCCACGGAGGCTAGTAGTGAGCAGCTGCCGAATCCCTTCCAGGGAGTACCCCAGGGGGACGTTGCGCAGGACCAGATGAGGTTTGCCTCTCGCCTAAGCAGCGGTGTACGAAGGCTTCGGGTCGTCATATACTTTGAGCTCCACCAACAAGCCGTTAGCGGTGTAGGTCATGGGAAAGATGCGCTGAAAGCACCTTGTGTCATCACGCGTCAACAGCTGGAGGATGTGACATGCGTAAGAGCGGCGTGGCAAGCGCAGGGTCTCTCCCGCTGATGACTCAAAATGGGGAACAAGGCCGGAGTGGAGGAACTGCGATGCTCGCAAGCCGAGGCGCACACGGTTCACGATCTTGCTGCGGTGATGCTCGGCAAGATTGTCAGGGAACATGATCGTTACAAGCGTAATGGTGTCACGAACGAGCGTATAATCAACAACACCCACTATACCGCGTTTGCGGCGCAGCCATTGGTGTGGACCATTCAACGACATTTGCGGCATGGAACTTGCTTCCGCCGCGTTGAACGTGATGTCAGGAATGCCGTCAAACCTGGCGTCAGGTTCGGGCTGCTGAATAGGTACAGGCTGCGCGGAGGACGATGCTTCTCCGGTGCAGACCTTCTTGGCAAGAGGAGGAGAGGGTCCATCATCCGGCATGAGGCCTCCGTTCTCAGCCATGGCGGTGTCAAAAGCAGGGGGGACGTTTGTCATGGTGGGAGTGACAAGGAAAAGAGTCCCGCGGCAGTGGTTTATGTAGATCGAGAGGCGGTTCCATAGAGAAGTCCGAATACGCAAGGATAGACATAAGGAGAAGGCATAAAGCGCTTCGTAACACGACTTGAAGCGCAGGCAGTGGCCTGAGAGCTTCCGAGACACCCCAGCGGGGCCATGCTGTCTCTCGAGGAAGATCAGACATGAGAGCGAGCTATGCTCATTCGTGAGTAGGCAAAGCCAACCATTGAGGAGGAGGGAGAGCATGAAGAGGCCAGGTCCGCCACAAGACGTGACTGCTAGTGAGGCAGAGACTGATGTTGACGAATGAGAAGGTTCGGAGAGTCGGGTTGACACCAGCAGAGGCCCTCTCCAGCCAAGGTTGGGCTATCAATGCTGCGTGGAACGAGCCTTAGCCATGGCGGTACAGCAGCCATCATCTTGAAGAGCAGCTGAAATGTCGGGCAGCTCCACGGAATCTTAAGGACGTGAAATTCTTTATGAGGATCATGCAGAGGGACAACCTCCATTCTGCAGCGCCGAACATGATTAGGATGGAGCAGCTGTAAGGTGTAAGGCGTTTTTCTGCTGTGGATCCATGATCGAGGATGCCAGCGTGTTTCATCGCGTGAAGCAGTAGTCACAGCGTATTCCAAGAACTAGGAACAAATGATTTTTTCCTACATGGTTAGAAAAGGCCACGAACTCACCATATGACCTGATAGTGAGGAATACACCATCCACCATAGTCCCATTGCCGAGTAGTAATTTGCAAGCATGGCAACCATGCAAATCTTCGAAGTTGTAAAAGTTTAAAGAGCAGTGCTACAACAGCCACATGTGAGAAACACAAGCAGGACAAAAGTTACCGTGAAGCAGCTGCTGATGGTCGGTTCGAAGGCAACGGATCCTGTTGCCTAGAGTAATGATCGGTAGTTTGAAAGTACGAACTGTTGGAGTTGCCAAGGTGGAGAGCTCTGGCCAGGAACCATTTTTTTTAAGGTGACAATAGCTCCTGACAAGGTGACATTTCGAGAGAGTACAAAGCTCGTTTCACAAGGTGCCACGCGAGCGGTAAGTAGAAACGATTTGCTCCAAACCCTTAATTGGTGATTCGGCGTTGTACACGTGGCCTCGAATTGCTCGCGTGGTCCTAAAATTGCACGATAATTGCTCGAGTGGTTTTGCCAGAGAATTCCCGTAGCCTTCTTTTAACCCAGTACATTACCCTACAAGAGAACTTATCCCCGAAATGTTTGGATCGTACGAGGTTATCCCGCATAAGAGAAAAAAAAAAACCCCTGGGGACATGGACGCATTTTCGGGAGGGATCAACCATGAACACGAGAAACGGCAATGTTTTAAAGTTGATGCCTCCCTGACTCGCATCCCCTTCCAATTGGGTTTTTGGTCAGGTGTAGTGACAAAAATGTAAATGCGCGGCCATATAAAAGCACTGTGTAACCAATAAGACGCGGTCATAAGGGTGCGCGATCATATATTATTTTGCTCGAACCCACGCCCACGACCCTATATGACCGAGCGTATTTGCGAGGCACAATGATATTGTCAGAACATTATAGCTTATACTTTTGTGTAGGCTATAATGGGGTATCCCATAGGGGGTACAACCCAACTAGGGTTAGTACTTGTACCCACTTCATTCATAGTTCATTCATTCTCGTTCTTACTTTCTCATGGTATCGAGCAGGTTCCCTCGTGGGAACTGTTCCTAGGGCCCACCAACCATTTTTTTTTCCTGCCCGGGGCGCGTCCTGCCCCTGCCTGAAGCGCGCCTAGGGTCACGCCCTTCCTAGCGGCCCGTCGCGTCGCCCCTAGCGGCCCGCCGCCCTTAGGGGCCCGTCGCCCTTAGCGGCCCGTCGCCTTAGCAGCGGCCCGTCGCCCTTAGCGGCCCGTCACCTTAGCAGCAGCCCGTCGCCCTAGCGACCCGTCGCCCTTAGCGGCCCGTCGCCCTTAACGGCCCTTAGCGGCCCGTAGCCCTTACCCTAGCGACGGCCCGTCGCCCTTACCCTAGCGAAGGCCCGTCGCAGCCCTAGAAGCGGCCCGTCGCCACCCTAGCAGCGACAAGTCGCCGCCCTAGCAGCGGCCCGTCGCCACCCTAGCCGCCGCCCGACGCCGCCCTAAGGCGGCCCTTCGCCGCCCTTTCTCACCTGCGGCCCGTCGCCACCCTTTTCCCTGCGGCCCCATTGCCGCCCTACCAGCGGCCCTTCTCCGCCCGTCTTTGCTGCGGCCTCTGCCGCCCTTTGCTGCGGCCTCTGCCGCCCTTTGCTGCGGCCTCTGCCGCCCTTTGCTGCGACCTCCGAGCGTGCACAGTTTAGTTAGTACAAGAGTGCTCAGACCTTGTACGACGCTGTAGTTGCACGCTACTCCTCCCCTGCCACTGCTGTACTGAGCCGTCTCATGCTGCCGTACCTCTTCCCTGACCTTGCTGCCTTTCCCACAGTCGCTGACCTCATTACGCACCTCTGCACTAGTGACACTCGCTACCGCGCTGCGCTTCCTGCTGACTTCTGTGCCAAGAACCCCCCCCCCCTCCCCATGTACAGCACCCTCTACTTCATAGTCATCCGACTCCCTGACTCCCTTAGAGTGGTCAGGGACCACTTCCTCGCAGTGTGCCCCACCACTCTCACCATTGACCTCCTCGAGAAGTCCCTCCTAGCGGCAGAGAAGAGCATAGTCGCTGTAGGAGCTTCTCGTGGTGACCCCCACACCCTTGTCTTTGAGGGGTGTTCTCCCTCCCCCCTCTTGCCCTCTGTCGCTTTTGTTGCTGCGGCTGACCTCGTTGGTTTCGAGTCGGTCGGCGCTGCGTCTGCCCCTTCGGGGAAGCGCCGCACAGGCAGGGGCAAGGGGGGCAAGGGCGCTGGAGGAGGCGGTGGAGGCGGCGGAGGCGGCGGAGGGAGTGGGGGTGGTGGAGGGAGTGGTGGAGGGGGTGGGGGTACCGGTGGCAGAAGTGGGGGCGGAGGCGGCGGCGGTGGCGGAGGGAGCGGAGGAGGCGGTGGTAGCGGAGGCGGCGGTGGTAGTGGAGGCGGCGGTGGTGGCGGAGGCGGCGGAGGCGGCGGAGGAGGCGGAGGTGGTGGTGGAGCTGGTCGCGGGTCTACGCAGAGGAGTGGCTCCGGTGGTGGTCCGCGACAGCACCAGCAGCGTGGTCGTGAGACCCTGTCCCCTCAGCAGCTCCGTGAGTGGTACACTGCACGCCAGCGGGGTGGGGGTTTTGGTTCGTCCACCTACGTCCTGCGCACCGGCGACCGTGCGGGTGAGCAGTGTGGGGGTGCGCACCCCACCCAGCGCTGCTTTGGCCGCCTGACGGACGCGTGGCGTCACCAGTTCCCTGAGGCCACAGAGATCCCTCGCTGGGGCGAGCTGTCTAGGGCGGGAGTTGCCATCTATGATCTTGATTTTGATGCTATTCTGTCTGCCATGTATTCTGTGACTATTAGTGATGAGGGTGACTGTTACCGGTGTTTCCCGCCTGATCCGGGCATTGAGACTACTGCTCTAGGTACTGGTGCGGCTGCTGCCCTAGGTGCTTGCAACGCTGCTGCTCTAGGTGCTAGTGCGTCTGCGTCCTCAGGTAACTGGTGAGTCTGCGCTCTCAGGTACTGCGTCGGCTTCGGCCTCCCTCACCTTCACCCTTGACTCTGGGGCTTCTCGCTCCTTCTTTCGGGACCGCACCACACTCACGCCGCTTAGTCGGCCGGTTACGGTGTCTCTGACTGACCCCTCTAGGGGTCCTGTCCTGTCTCACTTAACCACAGTCCTCCCGTGTCCGGCAGCAACCTATGGCACCCTGTCTTGTCTCTACCTACCCTCGTTCTCTACGAACTTAGTGAGTGGTTCTGACCTACAGGATGGGGGAGTGCACCAGTTCACTCCTGCGCGTCAGCGAGTGACGCACTGCACAGAGGCTCGCACAGGCCGACACCTGGCTACGTTTACACGTCAGCCGGGATCGAGAATGTACACACTGACCACTGCGTCTCCTCCAGTTGCTGGGTATGGTAGGGTGTCTGCGTCAGGTCACGTGTTTGCTGCAGCGTCCAGGTCTGGTCCTGAGTCTGCACCCTGTTCGTGTCGTCTCCTCTGGCACCACCGCCTTGGTCACCCCTCATTGGCGTTGTGTGCGCATGAGTGGAATGAGCATCAACTAGTATGGAATGATGGGGATGCAGCCGGCAGGCTGAGGGGGAGTGTGTTGGGTGCAAATTCACATTGCACGACATCCTGCCGTCTGATTGTACGAGTATACGTATGCGAATGCATTTGCGTGTGAATGGTATGTTCGTGTGTTTGTTTTCTTTCGGAATTTTCGCTTGAAGCATTTGCAGGTACTCGCACAACGTGCGCTGCGGCATAACATTGTACGCGCTATGAACAGTACAAGCAGAAAGGACGAGCTCGCAAAGGAACCCAAGATGGAAGCTTTGTGGTTCGGCTTACTTGATTGCGCAGATTCAGTTCTATTCAACTCGAAATTGTACTGTTTTGTTTGGTTGACTATAGTGTAGCAGGGCAGGCACTATAGGGGTACAATTTAGGTGAAGGTTGGATGTTGTTTGTCTGTATCTGCATGCTACAGGGCCAGAGGAAACCAGCGGAACCAGCATTTGGCTGGTTGGGCAAAGACAAAACAGGTTCTGTTTTTAGGACCTGAACCTGGTTGTTGTTTTCCCAGGTTGGAAAAACAGAACCAGAGGTTGTTTACCAACCTACCACCTGCTATTTTGTCCAGCCAGGTTGGTTCTGTTGCTTGGAATTATTTGGGATGATCTCTGGTTGTTCTCAGGTTCATTCCCAAGGTCCTTGCTAGCTAGAACTATTTATTCCTTCTCTGTTTGTACCTGGATATAGTGAAATTGATTCAAGCGAATTCCTTCCTTGCTGGAATTTCGTTTCTACGCGATGCGACGGCGGAATGCTACCCGAGTCAACGCTAGTATGCTAGC